CCTGTGCCCATGGAAAGAAATAATGCAGCAAAGAAAAAAGGATCGGGCCCATACAAGCAGGCAATCACAGTTTGAGGAAGTTGAAAGAAAGAAAGTGAAAAGTTAACTCTGTAGTTACTGGAGGGAATCAAGCAGTGAAACTTGGTAGGAATGTCTGTAAGTAATCCAGGCAAGAGGTTATTTAAGTGGAATTATTCGACTATGAATAATTTAGTCGAATTTGCTGAAGAACACTCCTGCTGTGTACAATCTGTATTTTATAAGTTTGAGATAAATTGGTATTGTTTAAAGTTGCAAAACTGAGAATACTTTTGCCAGACACAGGAAACTAGTGTTGTTTAAGGTATTTAGCATTTAATCCTTAAGGTGACTTAATGCTTTACAAGATTTAAAATGTTTTAAATAAAGACCAAAGGTTGTGGCTGCAGCAGGGTAGTCAAAGCCAGGAGAATAAAAGATTTGAATTTGTTTTTGGGTAACAAAATAGCAGATAAAAGGATCTGGTAAAGAGAGAGAAGGACAGTGCCACTGGCTCTGTGTGGTCGAGCTGTCACTTTGCTGTGGGTGCATGAAGATTTTGTAAGCACAAAAGAAACAGTTACACCTTGTGTAGAAATTGATGGAGAGGATGTGTATTTCCCCCAGAACATGTGCAGTGTATATTGGAACAGAGGTAAAGGAAATGCAAACCTACCAAAATAGGTTGTGTTGTCTTTTTCAGATCACTGTGTGTTTGAAAACAGGAGTTAAAAGTTAATTGTGTTCCTTTTTAAGTAAGAGTCTTTAAGCTGTGAATAGCTTTGAATCCAAAAGCAAGCCAGAAAGCATCTGTACTAATGCAAATTATCTTAACTGATAATGTAGAAGCCACTGAAACCTGGGCTGCCTATAAAACAATTACAAGGAAATATGGGATAATTCCTGTTTTGCCTGAAATCAACAAGAGTATTTGTATATAAAGGAAATATTTTAAGCAATGATTGACTACCCAGAAGGGGTAGACTTCTGTTCTTTTGTCTTTCAGATAATCAGAGAAAAACAGATGCCAGCTAAATAGCATTCAACGTACCATGCATTTACTGGTACAATAGGAATTATTTTTGTGTTCTGTGTCCTGTCTTGTGGTGTTTGTCTTGTGGCCAGAATTGTTGTGTTTAATATTTTTTATAGAACAGTCTAGTTTAAAATTAAATAGAACGGTTAAATTAAAAAAAGCAGATACTTGTTTTATTCAACTTGGAATACAAAGTGTTTGGATAAATCAGGAAAATGTGATATACTAAAGTTTAATACATTTGCTTAAGTAAGAAAAAGAAACTTCATTGGCCAGATCTTTTAATTGAAAAAAAAATTGTTGTTAAAATTTGTATACCAACAGTCTTTGGAAGCAAGGACATGAAAGGTTAACCCACTCCTTATATTGCACATGGGATCCTTCTGGCTACCTCAGATTTCTAGCCAGAGGGCTGGGGAGGGAGGAAAGCTATTAGACACCAGAGGTTGTACCGAGTAGACTCCTCAAAAGTGGGTGTGCTTGTCCTGGTTTGTTGCTCCATAGCTCTGTAATAAAGTTATTTTACTGGAAGGGTAAATGTGGTATACATAGAATAATAAGACTAATGTACTGTATAATGGCAATGTGTATGTGTTCATTGTTGAGAAAAGGTGTATGAGTGAAGAGTGGAAGTTTCCTTTGTAGGTTAAAAAAGCCAAGAAGGGGAGAAGGAAAAAAGAACAGAACAAGTTAACTGGGAAAAAAAATAGCTAGCAAGCTCAGTCCAAAGATAAGACGCTGGCCCCATTCAAGGACACTGCTACAGCTAAGACTTGGCTGACAACCAAGAAAAAGGGGGGCTGGAATGTGCCCAAGCAGCTGTAAAAAATCTGCAAATTATTGCCAGGCATTAATGAAATATGTTAGGGTTTTTCTCACAGGTAAAGAAGTGCTATCCAAAGACCCTAGCAGCCCTGCCATTCATTGAAACCAGAAGGCTGAGTCTACGTAAAGTCCATTATCGAAAGACTGCTTTGGCTCCACACTGGAAAGGCCCTTTCCAAGTCCTGTTAACCACCAACACCGCTGTGAAGTGCCAAGGACTGCCTGCCTGGACCCATGCTTCTCACTGTAAAAAGACCCCTCCACCTCGGGAGGGCTCTCTGACTGATAAGCTCCTTCAAGCTCTGCTGTGCCTTCTGGACAGCAGGGGAAAAGGACAAGGTGAAGTGCTAGTAACCTCTCCCTTGTATGATGCTGAATCACGACTGTTTCAGGAAAAGAGAAGAAGGAACACTCGCTCCATTGAAACCACCAAAGTCCAGGGATTCCTGACTACAAAAGACATTAAGAACTGACCCTGGTGAAGAAACAAAGAATTATACACTGGCAGGAAGAAACTTGTGGGACCCATGCTTGGGAATGTGGTATTGATTGGATTTTGGAGTTTATTCTACAGGCTGTGCCCTGTGTTTTGAATAAGTCCTTCAGCATGTATTGCCCTCCCTAATTGGATTTTAAATGACAAGGACCAAAGGCACCTTGTTGCCACTGCCCCTGCCATCTCCTCCATTACACTATTACCCCTGTAACACATCCAAATACAGACAGTGCCATATATTTGATAAAACCAATGGCCAAGGCCTTCACACTTTAGTGATTTATTTAAATATTGTTTAGAAAAAGAAATTATTTTTAAGGTTCAGGATATCCCATATTAGTGAACAATTAAACGAATACCCAAAGAGTTTGTTTTGCCACTGGAAATTTTACCTGCATAGAAATTATTCCAGTGACTAATAATGTGACCTGTATCTTACTGTAATACACCCCTTCTTATGCCATTAATATCAATGCCTCCCAGAAGTACATAAAGGTGTTTAACCAACAGATGTGGTACAGTACTACACCAAAGAGAGCTGTATTAGGATATCAATGGATTGTAATTAACACTACATTAGGGACTGTTAAATTTGTATTGCCCTTATCCAGTTTCCAGATCACCTCTATGTTCAAGGGGGGGGGGGGGGGGCCTGCCATTAGATAAGCACAACAGAGGGCTTGGGTTATTTCCTCTAGAAAGAAGAGAGACTTGACCGGATCTCTATGGGATGGAGCCAATAGTGTAGCTGTAATTTGGAATATCCATAAAAACCAACAGCATGCAGAAAAATTGGGCCAATTAGAAAAGGCCTCAGGGCTTATTACAGGGGCACAACTAACCAAGGTGCAAGCCGGGGTAGGTGAGTTACATATCATTTCTGCCCTTGGTTCCTTAACCCAGAGACTTCTAGCAAAGATGGTCTGGAACATCACTGGTGCTGGGGAGGCATTGCAGTGGGACACGGCATGTTCAGAGATCCAGGATTTTCTGAATGATGAGTTAGTGGCCATTCAGAGTGACCTTGAGCACCAGGCCTGGCCCACTGCCCTCACAGACACCTCAGGAGTACCATCTAATCTGTGGCCATGGAGACATAACTGGAGGTTTTCAGGGTGGAAGTCTGTACAGTCCCAATGCTCCTTCCAAGCGTATGGACCAGTTAAAGGGGTATGGGCACCCACTTACCGAGTCCTGCCTGGTCCATGGACGGGATGCATCTGGGACTGGGTTATTCACTAAGACATATGGGAAATAAAACCACCTGGTTTACCTAGCCAATTTATAGTCGGTGCCCCTGAAATAACACCCAATATTTGGATTGGATTGGGGAATCAATGGACACTCTGGCCATTAGAACCCCACAGCTTCAATGTATATGTAAACTCAAGCCGGGGAAAGTTGTCACTGTCCATAACAATGTTTGTTGGGAAGGTAAGGGACTGGGAACCTTCCTGACAGGAGTCATGATCTTCCAGGCTAATAACAGCTGTGTATTTGTTAAGGCCCATATTATACACAACGCCCATTTTAACCTTACTATGACTGCAGGCAACCATGTTATTTATTGGCCTTTGGATAAAAATTTGCAATCAACTCTCAGGTATAAAATGCCCTTTAACTGGACAACCCTGGTACCAGACCGTTTCCAAAATCTGCTTTCATTGATACCTGAGGTCCAAAAAAATATTTTCTGATTTATAGGGACAAATTCATATCCTTAAAAATGTATATCAGATAGAAAAAGGTGCCTTTCAGACAGCCTATCGACTGTCTTCCTTGTGCACTAGTCGAGACATGCTGTGTGCAGTGACCAAAATTATATACGAACCACACCATGTTGTTGCTATAGGTGGATTGACTGTTGTATTGGGTTTGCTTGTTTTAGGATTGTGTTTTTGCTATTGCTGTTGTAAGGGATATTGCTGTGCCTGTAATTTCTCTGCTAGGCCCACTGCAAGGGAGCAAGTGGCCTTAATGATTGTTAATGAGGTTTATGATAAAAGTTGGGATGAGATAAGAGAAAAGGAAAAGACAGAAATTAGAGGGCTCATGAATGTGGAAGTTTAGGCCAAGGGTGGCGCTGGAAGCGCCAAAGGGGGGAATTGTGGAGGAAAAATAGCCATAAGGCCTAAACTTTGGTCAAGTAAACTGTATGTAGGGTCAGATGAACTGTATCTGTGGACTGGAGGAAGGAGAAAAGGGTGGGGGGAAGTAAAAGGAGAAGGGTAGACAGAAAAGTATAAAAGCAGAATTATCTATAATTATAAGGCCTATGATTCATAGTGCTGCATTGACGGTTTTGGGGAAGTCTAGAAATCGCAGTAGGATAGATTGTGAAAAACAGGAAAGCTTAGAAACCGCAATAAGGCAGACTGTGAAAAACAGGAAAGCTTGCTAAGCTATATTCCTTTTATGGAGAGTGTATTCCAAATATGGTAATAATGCTGATAAGAAAGTATGTATTACATAATTGTGGTTTTATGCTATATAAACTGTGCAAAATTCTGTAATCAGGGGGATTGCTAGTTCACTGGTACCCCCCATGCATGCATGAAAATAAAAAGGCCTCAGGCGATTCTGATCCAAACACAACGCGTGGTCATTTTTCCACAACACCCACCTTGTCCAGCTAGTTTTTAATCCATTTAGTATGTGCTGCTTTGATTTTGTACAGTGCTATTTTTAAATCGGAATTCCATACAGTAGCCAGTCAAAAACATGAGTCTAAATATATCACACTTACCTTTATCAACCAAATTTGTAATTTCATCCAAAAGCAGTATCAGGTTTGCTTGGCAAGATCTATTTTCCACAAAACCATACTGAATGGCCTGAATTATGCTGCCATTCTTTAATTGTTTACTGACTGCATCCAACCTCAGCTTTTCCATTATTTTACCAGGGATCGATGTTAGGCTAACCACATTAGAGTTACCTGGGTTGTCCCATTTACCCTTTTAAAACCCTGATACTACATTGCCTTTTTGTTGTTGTTGTTTTTAAGCAGTCCTCTGAAACTTCTGGAACAGTCCAAGATTTTAAAAATTCCACATCAGTGGTCAAGAGAACTCCTCAGCCAATTCTCTTAAAACTCTTGGGTGCAAGTTATCCAGTTTGCTGATTTAAGAATACTTAACTTTAACAGCTGCTGTTTAACATCCTCCCTAGTTGCTGTTGGAACAGAGTATTTCATTATCACTGTAAGGTGTGAAAACATCATCTAGCTTCTTTCGAAACACAAAAGAAATATTTATTGAGCACTTCTGCCTTTTCTCAATCAATATATACAATTTTACCATCTCCATCACTAATCAGCTTAGATTATTGTTAGGATTTCTTTTGTTTGTGATATATTTAGCAATGCCATGCCCCTCCAGCAAATACAACCTTTACAATACAGCTCTTCCTAGAAAGGTCCCCATGGCACTGTGGACAGGGCCAAGCCCTGCTATAACCTGGTTTAGGCCCTGTTATTTCATTCATTGGAATGGAACGAAGTCAGCAGAACCAAGCATTGACCACCATCACTGGTGGGTGGCTGGACAATAGGGAAACTGGAGGTGGAAGCCTGGGGCCTGATGTTAGAAAGCAGCACAAAAGGCCTCTGCATGGAAGCTGACCCAAGAAAGGTCAGAGGAGCTGCTGCATGCTTCGAGTGTAGACCACCACCCCTTTGCTGTGATTATAACCTGGGAACTCTCAGAAGTCTCTCTCCTCATGCCATAGGAGGTTTGGCTTAGGCCATTTCCTATTTACTGCTCTGGGGTCCTGCATGCAGTTATGGAAATAGTTAGTGCTTCCCAGTGAGTACTGGATAGGGCTCCTGTTTGGATCTTATTCCTACATGGGAGCTCACACTTCATCAGCAAGGCAGTTCCTCATATACTCATGGCTTAGGAAGAGGGCTAGAGAGTGGTCCAGCCAGTACCCCTGCTCTCCCCTTGATGCAGAGAGGGTCAGCACTGCAGGAAACCTGCATGTTTAAAATCCAGAAAACATGAGGAGAGGATGTTTGGAAGGGGACTAAGTCACAAGCTAGGGGATTGCAAGAGCGCTCTCAACCCAGGACTAGGATCACTGAAGGATTTGGTGAGGGTGGGGAGGGAGGTACTGAGGGTATTTTGCAATTACACCATTGGCAAGAAAGCAAATACGAGCTGCTATTTTCAGGCTCTACAACACACAACAAGCTGTGCCTCACCCCTAGCTCAAAAGTAACACATTTCGCTATCTCCATCTAGATTGGATGTTCCATGAATCACATAAATGTCCAATCCTTTCCTGAATCCTCCTAAATTGGCCTCAAATCGATTTGGCAGCAGCAAATTCTTCTAGACCTCCTATCCCCAAAAGATGTTTGTAACACTGACCACAATGGACAGGACACATCTATTAAGAACCACCCACCCAGGCTTGTAAACTGCAGGTCAAAAAGTCACAGCTAAAGAGAACTTCAACATGAATGACTAACTGGTCTAATGAGGGTCTTTTAAGGCAACCATACAGGTGTATCCCCAACATAGCCCTTAAATGCATGACTAGAGGGCAGAGAACAAACTCCTACAGGTATTTTATTTTTGATACTTTCACTAAAAAAAATACATAGGAAATGAAACACAAAACATGTGATAGGAACAAATGGAGGAATTCAGAGTGTTGGCTGAAAGTGCATCATTAACTCCTTCTACTGTGTCCCTGGTCCCACTCCATCCCTGAAGCACAGAATCAATAGCACACACAGAGAGCAGCACCACCCAAAACCCAGACATTGTGGGAGGCTTGGCAGGAGTGACTGAGGCTTCTGATCCTTGAGCAGAGAGCACCAAAGATGTAAGATGGGCTGAAGGGGAGGACAGTCTAGCAAGCCAATGGATGAAGCTGCATTATTTGCAGCTTCAGCTGTGGAGCTTGGACTGTATGTTTTGCACACAGCATTATGGGTGTGAGAAGACGAGGTGTTAGGAGCCAAGGAAGTAAATAGCTGAGAGTAAAGGCATGAAAGGGGTTTGAAGTGCCAGTTCTAGATGCCTTGTGTCTCGAGGCAGGGAATGGTTCTTATTCAGTAGTACATGTACGTTCTAAATTGATCCTGAGTCTTGTCTACCCTCCCATGTCTCAGTCACCAAGGAATCCGCTGGTTCCACTGTTCTGCACGATGACAAACACTCACAGGGTTGTGGTGAGCAGCAGAGTGAGGTTTCTGCTGCCAGAAAAAGCTCTCACTCCCAAGACAAGTCCATCAATCTTCTTGAAGAAAATGCGACCATGTTAAACACATTATTCTCCTCACCTCTTCCAGTCTGTTTCCAGTAGGCAGACTGGGATACTGCAGTCTTGCCAACACCCCAATCTCTGCTTCTCCCTCCTCCACTATTACCTGGAGTGCCAGACCCTTCTCCTCCCCCGCTGCATCTGGGTCTCAGTAGTTGAAAGCATTAGTGTGCGATTTCTGTCCTTTGTACACAGGTCCATGTATAACCTGCAGATGTAGCTCCAGTGTAGCACACACTGGCAATCATCTGCATGGAAGTGCACTTGGTACATGGAACACTTAGCTTTAAACATTTAGTTTGTATGAGAATCTGAAGCTGGCACATCAAGAACAGTTTGGATTCCACCCTCAAACACGCAGGCAGCTCAGAGCTCCCAGTGACCCTGCAAGGACTGCAGGTGCAGAGGTGACTGTCAGATCAGCTGTAAGTACGTATCTTCCTAAACATTCATTAGGCTGTCTGACCAGGCAAAGCTCCAAGCATATCTGCTGTGTTGATAAAGTTAGCTGTTGGGATGGCAGGTTGGCAGAGGATGCAATTTCTCCTGACCCACCCAAGTACCTTTTTCTAGCTTCACACAGAGCTCTTGATTTCAAGTGGCTGCTGGGGTGATGTCTTTGTCCACACAACGTATTTCAAGCAGCACACAAAGAATGCTGCACTAGTGCCTGCAGTCCCTGCATCCCCAGCTATCAGGAACAGTCCCTGCAAATCACGTGAGACTCTCCTCCTTCAGCCTGTCCTTCTCAAGGAGTTTCTCTCACCTGGGCTTCTCCAAAGTCACTTCTCCCGAAGGACACAAACACCAGCATCACAACGCTGTGTACCCAGTGAGGTCACCACTTCCCAGCTGTCAATGATGGGATCGTAGCACTCAATGCTGCTCAGCAGCGAGTTGCCATCATACCTGCAAAGGACAGAGGGCTACAGGTGAGCAATGATTTCTGAGAGAGAGAGAGGGGAGTACGGAGCCCTGGGTGGGAGCTTAAGGAGTTACCCTGGGCGTTTGAAGGCCCAAAATGCTGCTAAAGCTCTGTGCACAGGGAAGGAGGGCTGAAATAAGATCAGCACAGCAGTTCCAGAGCACCTCTCCCACCATCTCCCTGGCCAGCTCAGCAGCGTCCCAGCATGTGGCGCTGCTTGTTTAACTCACTATGGTGACACCATGGCCTGTCATTCTTTGGGTGCGCCAAAAGGGAAATACATGGAGAGCCCCTGTTTTGAAGCTCTACCGCAGGATCTGCAGCCACTGCACTAAACTCACTTGCTGGCTATTACTTTGCTTAGTGACAACAAGCCACTCCCCCTCCCCCAGCCTGGGTTGGACATTCCCTGCTAATACGTTTTAAACATGGCTGTCCGCGTCTGCACTAAGGATTAAGTCTTGTTTAGCAGCATGTTAGAGGACTCCTTTCCTACCACCAAACAAGTTCCCAGTGTAGACAACCCTTCAAAGAGCAGCAAGACCCACCCTTCTTACCCAGCTATTGCATACAGCCGTCCCCTCAGCATGGTGGCACCCACGTAGCAACGAGGCGTTGTCATACTTGTCACAGTAGTCCAGGAATCAGTGCGAACGTTATAGGCTTCCACAGAGGAGAGATGCGCTGTCCCATCAAACCCACCAACAACGTAAATGTGATCGTTCAACAACGCTACTCCTGCTCCTGGAAGGGGAAGGGGAGTTACGCTGAGCAACAGCGACCAGCACACGATTATCACTGCAGGTAGGCTGGATGGAGCACTCTCCCCATAACTGCAGCTCTATGGCATGGGTGCTACTGCACTTACAGGGACAGAAAGGACATTTCTTACTTGCTTCAACTTTCTGCAAAATAGCTTGTTAGGGTTGAAGTGTTTCCTGATTGTTCTTACCTCAAAGGAGACCGGTGGGTCGGCCGTGGAGCCCCCTGGAGTGGCGCCTTCATGGCGCTGGATATATACCCTGGCCGACCCAGCGCCCCCTCAGTTCCTTCTTACCGGCTACTCCGACAGAGGGGAAGGAGGGCAGGTTTGGAATGGATACGAGCAACACATCTCGAAGAACAACAGTTACAAAGGAGGAGGGATAGCTCAGTGGTTTGAGCACTGGCCTGCTAAACCCAGGGTTGTGAGTTCAATCCTTGTGGGGACCATTTAGGGATCTGGGGGGAAAAAAAACAAAACAACAAAACCCTGTCAAGGATAGTACTTGGTCCTGCTAGTGAAGGCAGGGGACTGGACTCAATGACCTTTCAAGGTCCCTTCCAGTTCTATGAGATAGGTATATCTCCATATATGATATTATTATTAAAGGTGAGTAACCGTCTTTTCTTCTTCGAGTGCTTGCTCATATCGATTCCAATTAGGTGACTCCCAAGCCTTACCTAGGCGGTGGGGTCGGAGTGAAGTACCGCGGATTGTAGGATCGCCCTACCAAATGCTGCATTGTCTCTGGCTTGTCTAACGATGGCATAGTGTGAGGCGAACGTATGCACTAAAGACCAAGTAGCAGCTCTGCAGATCTCCTGGATTGGCACCTGGGCCAGGAAGGCTACCGACGAGGCTTGAGCCCTCGTGGAGTGAGCGGTGAGATTGGGGGTCGGGATCTCGGCCAGATCATAGCAAGCACGAATACATGACATGATCCAAGAAGAGATGAGCTAGGAGACTGGAAGACCCTTCATCCGGTCTGCTACAGCGACGAAGAGCTGCGTTGTTTTCCGGAATGGTTTCATATGTTCTGTGTAGAAGACAAGAGTCCTACGAACATCGAGGGAGTGAAGCTGTTGTTCCTGACTATTGGCGTGAGGTTTTGGGAAGAAAACCGGGAGGAAGATACCTCGTTGATATGAAAAGTCGATACCAACTTGGGAAGAAAGGCAGGGTGAGGTCATAGCTGCACCTTATCCGTATGGAAGATCGTGTAAGGTGGTTCTGATGTAAGAGCCTTGAGCTCAGAGACACACCTCGTGAAATGATTGCAACGAGGAAAGCTGTTTTCCAAGAGAGGTACAAAAGGGAACATGTGGCCAAAGGTTCAAACGGGGGTCCCATAAGTCTGGAGAGGACCAAGTTGAGGTCCCATGTGGGTACAGGCTGCTGTACTTGTGGATATAGACGGTCCAGGCCCTTGAGGAACCTACCAACCATGGGGTTGGCGGAGACAGATCGCCCATTCGCTCCCGGGTGGAAAGCTGAGATGGCTGCCAGGTGAACTCTGATGGATGATATCGCCAAGCCCTGCTGTTTCAGGTCCAGGAGATAGTCTAGAATGAGAGGCATGGACGCTTGGAGGGGAAGCGTATCATGGAGAGAGCACCAGCATGAGAATCGCTTCTATTTAGCCATATACGTAGCCTGAGTGGAAGATTTCCTGCTGCTCAACAGGACCTGCTGCACCAAACGAGAACAGAGAAGTTCAGAGTGGCTCAGCCATGCAGCATCCATGCCGTGAGGTGGAGGGACCGCAGGTTGGGGTGCGATCCTGCATGATCAGGTCCAGAAAGAGAGGCAGCGGAATCGGGGTGTCCACCGAGATCTCTAACAGCGTGGTGTACCAATTCTGCCTGGGCCATGCTGGGGCGACCAGAATCAGTCGTGATCTGTCCCTGCGTGCCTTGATCGGGACCTTGTGTACAAGGGGAAACAGTGGGAAGGCGTACAACAACCTGCTTGTCCACGGGAGTAGGAAGGCGTCTGTGAGCAAGCCCGGGGAGCGGCCCTGGAGGGAGCAAAACGCCGGGACTTCCGGTTGCTGCGCGAGGCAAACAGGTCGACCTGGGGAAACCCCCACGTTAGGAAGATGGGGTGGATGACATCCGGGTGGACTGACCACTCATGGGATTGGAAGGACCTGCTGAGGTGGTCCACCAACGTGTTCTGGACCCCTGGGAGAAACAACGCCACCAGGTGAATAGAATGGGCTATGCAGAACTCCCAGAGTCGAATGGCCTCTTGACAGAGGGGGGAGGAACGAGCCCCCCTTGCTTGTTGATGCAGAACACAGCCATGGTGTTGTCTGTGAGGACCACCACACAATGACCATGCAACTGCTCCCAAAAGCCTTGGCATGCAAGACACACCTCCATCAGCTCCCGTACATTGATATGGAGAGAGAGATTGGATGGGGCCCATAGACCTTGCATCTGGATGTCCCCGAGGTGGGCGCCCCATACCAAGGCTGACGGATCCGTGACGAGGGACAAGGAGGGCTGAGGGGTGTGGAAGGGGACTCCTTTGCATACCACCCTTGGGTCTAGCCACCATTGGAGGGAGGCCAGGACCCTTTCCGGAACAGTGACCACCAGGTTCAGGCTGTCTTGACCTGGACGGTAGACAGATGCCTGCCAGGCCTGAAGCGGTCAGAGCCGAAGTCTGGCATGTCTGGTCACGTGTGCAGGAAGCCATATGACCCAGGAGACTCAGGCATGTTCTTGCCGTCAAGGTTAGGAAGCTTTGAAGGCTCCAGATGAGGCCCGTCAGAGTGTGGGAAAGCGCGTCCGGCAGGAGGGCTTGGGCATGCATGGAATCTAGGATCGCCCCGATGAATTCTATTCTCTGGGTTGGTTCTAGAGTCGACTTCGCCGCATTGATGAGAAGACGTAATGGAGAAAACGTGTCCATGACCACTTGAACGTGGGATTGCACCTGTTCTTTGGTGCGACCTTGGATGAGCTAGTCGTCGAGATACGGGTATACCTGTATCCGTCTCCAACGAAGGGAGGCAGCCACAATTGCCATACATTTGGTGAACACCCGGCGGGCCGTGGAAAGGCCGAACGGAAGGACCATGAACAGGTAGTGTTCGCGGTTGACCACAAAGCGGAGGAAGTGTCTGTGTGCCGGATGGATTGCTATGTGGAAATATGCGTCCTTCATGTCGAGGGCGGCGTACCAGTCTCCAGGATCCAGGGAAGGTATAATGGTACCCAAGGAGACCATGCGGAACTTCAACTTTACCATGAATTTGTTGAGTCCGCGCAGGTCCAGAATAGGCCGAAGCCCGCCCTTTGCCTTGGGTATTAGGAAGTAACGGGAGTAAAACCCCTTGTCCCTTAGCTCCCTTGGAACCTCCTCGATCGCCCCCATGGATAGGAGTGTTTGAACCTCCTGAACGAGGAGTTGCTCGTGAGAAGGGTCCCTGAAGAGGGACAGGGTGGGGAGAAAGAAAATTGCAGAGAGTATCCCCTTTCCACCGTGTGAAGAACCCAACGGTCCATGGCTATACGGGACCAAGCACGGTGGAAACAGGATAAACAATTCAGGAAGGGTGGGGTACGATCCTGACCGAGGTTCGGTACATCATCCTCGAGCATCACTTCCAAAGTTTTGCTTAGGGCCCGCTGAGGGCTTGGAAGGGCCTTGGTCAGGTTGGTGGTTGGAGGGTTTCCTCCTGGTATTGCGCCCCCGCCTCCTATAGAAGTCCTGCCTCGGCCGAGGAGGGGGATAGGAGCGTTGGGGCTGAGGCTTAAATGGCTTCCACTGGGTAGCCGGTGTGTGCATCCCCAGCGATCACATTATGGCCCTTGAGTCCTTGAGGCTCTGAAGCCTTGAGTCAGTTTTGTCTGAAAACAGGACCTCTCCATCAAAGGGGAGATACTGTAATGTTTGCTGAAGCTCCGGTGGTAAGCCGGAAGCTTGCAGCCAAGATATACGTCTCACTGCAATGCCTGAAGAGAGGGTCCAAGCAGCAGAGTCTACGGTGTTCAACGAGGCCTGTAATGAGGTCCTCACCACTGTCTTGCCCTCTTCCACCAAGGCCCCAAACTCCTCTCTGGACTCCGAAGGAACCAGCTTCTTGAACTTTAACATGGAGTTCCAAGAGTTATAGTTGTATCAGCTCAGGAGTGCCTGCTGGTTTGCGATCTGGAGCTGAAGACCACCCAAGGAGTACATTTTGTGCCCAAATAAATCGAGGCGTTTGGCCTGTTTTGATTTGGGTGCTGGGGCTTGCACTCCTTCTCATTCACTGAGGCCACCACCAGTGAACAGGGCTGTGGATGTGTGTACAGATAGTCATATTCTTTGGAGGGGACGAAGTACTTCCACTCCACCCCTTTAGCAGTTGGAGGAATGGACGCGGGTATTTGCCAGATTGTTCTGGCCGTGGTCTGAATAGTCCGGATGAGCGGTAGGGCCACCCTAGATGGAGCCTCTGCAGACAAAATGTCAACCACAGGGTCCTCCACCTCTAGAACCTCCTCCGCTTGGAGGTTCATATTCCATGCCACCCTACGTAAGAGGTCCTGGTGGGCATAGTGGTTTATTGTGGGGGACCCGAAATAGCAGTGTGTGCCACTGCCTCATCAGGTGAGGTGGAGGCCGCAGGAGGAAGAGGATCATCTGGGCCCTCTTGGTCAGCTGTGTCTCAGAGTCCTGAGTCCGCGATCTCAGCGTCCAGACCTGGAAGCGGGGTTGGAAGAGGGTCTGGATGGACACTGCCCCAGTTTCCATGTCCCCAGGAGCAAGACGGCTGACGGTGGCCTCTGGCACCCGTGGCTCAGAGGGGGCTGAACGAGAAGCCCCTGACGGAGCACCCTGGGCCTGGTGGTACGCCCAGGGCGTCCAAAAGGGCCATTGAGTAGACCCTTGGACCGGACCTTGTCCCTGCGCCTGCCAATGAGCAGCCCCTGAGTTCAGATGGCTGTGATCCAAGTGGCGGCGGTCGGATAGACGCGACCCTGCG